ATGTGAGAGTTGAAAGACCTTTAAGGGGTTTCTCTGGTTTTATGATGTCTTATTCTTTTTTTCTTCCTCTGGTTGATGAAATGCCAGGGTGAAAGGGATAGCCAAATGGACTAAAGCACAAGTGCCACTCTAGTTATTCGGCAGAGTGCCCAGTAAAGGTCCACCACAATACCACCACACATTCACTCAGGGATCAACAAGGGCTGACTAATTAAGAAGCTCTTGAAAATTCTTAAGCTCACTGCATCCCTTCAGGTCTCCAAGGAATGCTAAGTTTCCTCCCTGTCACGAGAGACATGAAATGAACTTAGTGTTCGGAGACGGAGGCTGCATGGCCCTCAGAGGCTCACCTGCAGGGTGCTGGACTTTGGGATATAGCAGAGAGAGCTTGGCACAACTTATTACTCCAGGCTGTAGAATCCTGGAAAAGAGCTACCATAGAGCCCATTCTTGGTGGACTGGAGGACCACCTTAGTGGAAAGGGGACAATCTGGGCCTCTGGCCTGCCATGTGCACAAGCATAATAATTGCTTCTGTTTAATGTGCAGATGGAATATTTGATCCATTCCAACCAGGCATTTGCATCTTGGTATGCTGTCTTAATTGCCAAAGTTTGTTTGAAGTCTTTAACTTCTGTGACCCTCTAGTAAAATGAATGTTTCCTTTAGCACCTATTTTTATTAGTTTTTAGACCAAAGAGAACTAAGCACCATTTTATATTTAATAATGCTTCTTGTATGACTTTTATACCAGATAAGCTAAATTTTACCTTTATATTAGTGTGTTATTAATGTTAAACTTAATTTTAATAAAACCTTGTAGATGTATTTATCAAATTTTTAATGTTTGAGCATAACGTAAGATTTTATAGACTCTTTTTAACCTTTCATAATTTTTGTTAAAGAGCAGGTTGGTGCTTTAAGAAAAACCTGTTGCATTTTTGCTTTAATGTCCAGTTCACAGAAAAACTGGATGATACCTTTTTAACTTTAGCTAATATGTTTACGCACATAATTTTCTTTACAATCAATGTTTTAAAACTTGCTTAAACTTTCAAAACAATAGTTTTTTTAACCTTTTAATGTAGGCAAAAATCCACATTCTTATGCCTCCTTATAATCCTTTTACCAAAGGTATATTTTTCTTTCCTTATACACCTTGCACATAAACTCAGGAGGCCTTATTACTTTTAAATTATACAACATGTTTTGCATAACATTTTTTTCTTTCATGACTTTCGTAGACAATTCTTCGACATGTCTCAACTTTCTGACTTATTACAAACATTTCTTTAAGCAACCAGTTAATTTATTTCAGGACAAGAATTTACCATATAACACCCTTTTTACCTAAATTCTGTCTCCCCCTCTTTTTTCCATTTTTTTTTTTTTTTTAGGATAACCATTCTTTTCCAAAGTGAACTTCCTTTATGTCTGGGGACTAGACTGTCTAAGGCCACAATATTAGAAATTACTATAATACATGTTACACTGCTAACTTTTAGCAAACTTTACTTTTGTTGAAAACCTTGTAAGTTTGGGATTTCAATTATCCTTTGCTATTAATAAGACCTTGTTTAGTCTAAATTAATTTAGAATTGGTATAGATGGCCTTTTTTTTTCTTCTGTTAGCAAAACAGCTGCGCTACAGATTGAATGCATCTGGGCCATCCGCAGGTTACTGGGTTAAGGATTTTTGATAGGAAGGACTCAGTGCTTTAGGGATACACCCTTGTTTACACTGACAACAAAGTGGTATTAGAGTGTTACAGGGTTACTGAGAATACCTTTAATTATTAATTATACATTTTAAATTTACCTTGACTTTTAAAGGAATAGGGTATACTGTTTTTTTTTTTCTTAACTACTTGTATATTTCTCTCTTTCTCTCTTTGACTTGCTGTCTCTCTCTCTTTGACTTTCCTTCTGCCTCTGTCTCTTCCTCTCTTTCTGCCTCTCTCTTTCTCTGTCTCTCGTTTCTTGACTCCTTTGTCTCTCTGTCTCTTCCTCTCTGTCTCTTCCTCTCTCTCTTTGCCTGTTTTTCTCTCTGTCTCTTTCCTCTCTTTCTCTCTGCTGGTCTTTCCTTCCCTCTGCCAGCCACTTATGCTGCTGTTCTCTTAACTACTGTAGGTGGGGAGGGGGTCTAAAACCAGCTGTAACTGTCTATGTACGGAAACTGGTCTGGGTGCCTTGGCTTACGGTTACCTTGTGCCATACCTTTGAAACAATGGACCTGTCTAGGCTTCCTTCTGATGGCCAACCCACCTCTAATGCTGGCCAATCTATTTCACACAAAGTTCTAAGTTTTCTTGGTGTCATAGTAACAATGTAATCTCCCTTATATCCTTTCTTGAAATTTTCAACATAGTTCCTAGTGGGATGGGTTTACTTTGTGCCTGACCTATGCTTCTTCGAGACAAAACACCACACTGACACCACACGCACCCCACAAAACAAAGAACAGGTAAAGGGGGCACACACACACTTTTGCAGTTTACACCAAACCAAAATCAAAACCAATATCAGAGTATCCAGAAATCCAAGCCAGTTCAAAACCAAAACCAAAGTATCAAGCAATCCAAGTCAAGTCAAAAACAAAAAAAAAAGTGCCGGTACAGGCACACCATGGGAGATCAGGCCACACTTCCACTCAAATGGAGTAGGCAAGTTCCCAAGACCAGTCCCGTCAAGCAATTCAAACCAAGTCAAAACCAAAACCAAAGCGCCGATAAAGGCACACCGTGGGTGATCAGGCCACGCTTCCACTCAAGTGGAGTGGGCAAGTTCCAAAGACTAATCTTACCAAGTTCTAGATGACTAGACTCCAAGTGCCAGTTCCTGGTGTTCAGCCACTGCATTGATCCTTCACGGGGGCCTGCCACACACTGCTCTGGCGAGGCGTCCCACGGGGCAAATGCCTAATTGGGAGCGCTCTCAGGATCCTTGTCACTCCAGCTGGTTGGAGTCCCCCGCAGGGATGTTCCACATGGCATGCTAAAGCCACCTAAGGAGCTGCCTCGGCCATCCATTAATCACCTCGCTTTCCCGGTCAGGAACCAAGAACTGTAGCAGGAGGAGCCGTGGACAAAACCTCTTAAACACCGAGATAGTGAAGGGAGTGGCTTTAATCAGCTGGGAGCATCTGCAGGCTAACGTGTTAAAATCCAAGCTCATCAGGTGCTCAACTTCTGTCCCTTTTAAGGGCTCACAACTCTAAGGGGGTCCGCGTGAGAGGGTCGTGATCAGTTGAGCAAGCCAGGAGGTACGTGACGGGGCTGTGAGCACTGATGGTCAGAGTGAAACAGAACAGGAGGTTTCACAGTGTCTTTCCATACAATGTCTGGAATCTATAGATAACATCAGTTGCTAGGTCAGGGGTTGAATTTTAACTACCAGACTTAGGTCAGGCAGGCCCAGGTCTGGTTTCGGGTCTGATTCCTTGGTTTCAGGTCTGGTTCCTACGTGCCAGGCTACCCGCCTTTAGTTTCACTTCTCTTTCCTTTTCTGAGTATAAAACAATATGAGAGGATCTCTCTCTTCCCTCAGTCATGAAAGAGAATAGATCAGTTTCCTAACATTCCTGCAAGGTCAAGTTGTGATGGTACATACTTGAGGCAAAAGAACACTCTTTATTATTTGGGCCTTGGACCCATATTCTTTTTTTTTTTTTTTTTGAGACAGAGTCTTACTTTGTCATCCAGGCCGGAGTGCAATGGCGCGATCTGGGCTCACTGCAGGCTCTGCTTCCTGGGTTCATGCCATTCTCCTGCCTCGGCCTCCTGCGTAGCTGGGACTACAGGCGCCTGCCACCACGCCCGGCTAATTTTTTTGTATTTTTAGTAGAGGTGGGGTTTCACCGTGTTAGCCAGGATGGTCTTGATCTCCTGACCTCGTGATCTGCCTGCCTCGGCCTCCCAAAGTGCTGGGATTACAGGTGTGAGCCACCGCGCCTGACCTGGACCCGTATTCTTAATGCAATCTCCTGATGAATTAAATGAGGCAATATGTAAATGTAAGCACTTCTCTTACCTCTGCACTAGAAGCTAGCCAAATGGCCTTCTTGTTCCCTTTCCTTTGGTTTTCACTCTTATCTGGGCCCTACCAGCCTAATGACAATAGAAGCATGGAAATGTAACCTTAAGGATAGAACTCTGTTTTATTTTTGTTTTTTGTTTCTGTTTGTTTTTTTGTTTCCCCCAAAGGCGAGGGCCGAATTGGCCTTGCTTTTCCTTTTTTCTTGGAGTAACCCTATTTCTGCTAGGTCTTTCAATGATGGTATGGTAGAGTTTAAGTTGGAGGGGTTGGAGAAAAAAATCCTCAGGTTTGTGTTATTTTACCAGCTACGTGGCAGGGAAGAGAGAGAAAGTGGTTTAGAGGAAAATAATCCCAAAACAGGACTTTTCCTTGAAAATCAGAGAGTTAGAAGTGAATTTTCATAATTGAGTAAAGAATGGGAAGGACTATGCAGATGTTTTCAAATAAATGATGATTGTTAGGCTGGGATTTTGGTCAGAAATGAAAATATATTAAAGAATGGTCAGTATAAATGGAATTGGGTTGAAGAAGGAGAAGAGAACCATTTCTTATTAAGTACCTATTAATGATACCACAAATTAATCTTATAAGAACTCAAGGAGGAAACAGTATTGCTGACATTTTAGACAGGGAAACTATCTCCAAAGTAGGCAGTTAATTGACCAGCCCAAGATTGTATAGTGGTAAATTGTTGGGACAAAATGTGAAACTAGGTCTCTCTGATCCTCTAAAACATACACTGTTTCCATTTTGTCTCTGTGTCTTCAGAATTTCTATTTACCATATCTATTGCCAGAGTGCCATATTTGAGGTATGGTTAGATGAATATAATGTAAGTGAATATATAAGTTTAATAAACGTTGATTCTGAGCTTCACTATGTCTCCTGTTCTGCACATTCTCCTTACCGGGATAAGATCAGAACTTGTTCGAATTCTAGAATTTGGTCTTATGTTTTATATTTTAGGACCAGTGACAAAAGAAGAAACTTGGCCAAACAAAAAGCTGAGGCTCAAAGGAGGCTCTATGGTCAAAATTCAATTAAAAGGCTCTTACCAGGCTCCTCAGACTGGGAACAGCAGAGACACCAGTTGGAGAGGCGGAAAGAAGAGTTGGTATGAAAGTTTTAAGAAAGTACCCACAATTTAAATTGCATAATTCACTCGTCAGGTTTTATTTGTAAAATTTTTCTCATTTCCAGAAAGAGAGACTCGCTCAAGTACGAAAGCAGATCTCACGAGAAGAACATGAAAATCGACATATGGGAAATTATAGGTAACTGTGCTGGTATTTTTGTATAGATTGAAAAAATGAAGTATCAAAGCAATGATCCTTCATGTTTTAATCTTGTGTGCTTATTTTAAGCATTTTTCTTTGATTCCAAGCAAGTACTTTTGCTTACTGTCTTTCAAGAAAGAAAGGTAGTCAGCAAGGAGATGGTTCAGCCTTGACAATGCTCCTGCTAGCCAGCCTCTGGGTGGTTGTAGGAGGTCCTTTTAACCCGCCGTTATCCTGTGACTGTATTTAGTTATAATGTGGTGTTTAAAAAATGTCAGAATTCAGGTCTCTTGGTATTCTTCCTGCCAATCTATAGTGGTTACTGTACTTTTTCAGGAACCAAGCAAATAATGAAAATGTTTGAAGGAGTTAGGTATGGGACAGTGGAGAGAGATGTGGGCTGTGTTAAACTGGAACCGTTCCACAATATCACCCTTGACAGAAGCAAACCTCCCCACCCCACCCAGCTCATTGTGTTCTTGGAAAGACTGCCCACTTTCCAACTTTTGACATTGCCTGAGCAGGATAAAGGAATGTGTAAGGGCATTCTTGCACTCATGGTAAGATGTTCTTTCATGGCCTTAACACCATCAACAGTAGTGATGAGAACACATTCCTCCCACTCCACCTCTACCCACTTTACTAGAGAGGCAAATTCCATCACTACAAAAGAGATCATCAAAACCACTGCCTACATTTTTGTATACTTCGGTAACCACACTAAGTAAAAAACTCCTGTAGTATCCCTTATTAACTGAACACTCTCCTACAAAGTTCAATATTTCTGCAATTTGCCCAATCACCATTCTTCTCCAACCATTTTGCCCTAACTAAACCCTTATACTGTGCCTTCTGGAACTGCATTGTTTAATGCTAATTCTCTAGATAAACTTTATTTGTGGATTTGTGCCACTATCAATCACTATAGACTGAAAACCTTCATAAAGTTGTAAAAATACTCTTGTGCAATCATTAAAGTTTTGAAAGAATTTCGTTAATTAGTGCCCAGTGAGCAAATAGTTACATTAGAAAGTTACTGAGTGAATCTATTAGGCCAATTATCAGTTTTCTCTCTGGAGGTTTAATATTTAATATTATTTTGTACTAATCAGTATAGAAATGCTTATACCTGGCAATATGACTAGTATAGAATAGGTGGTCAAGGATTATCTGTGGAGTTGATGTTAACTATTGAGCTGTGACAGCTTCTTTTTAAAAATTTGGTTTATCTGATTTTGTTGTAGACGAATTTATCCTCCTGAAGATAAAGCACTACTTGAAAAGTATGAAAATTTGTTAGCTGCTGCCTTTCAGACCTTCCTTTCAGGAAGAGCAGCTTCATTCCAGCGAGAGTTGAATAATCCTTTGAAAAGGATGAAGGTAAGAGAATGAATGTTTATATAGAGAAAAAAGAATAAAGCTAAACAATATGTCTTTACAGACAAGCCACCTTGGTCCAACATATAAAAATATCTTACTTTTAAGATATGCTTTCCCCAAGCTTTTTAACAGTTGGTAACATTTCATGATGAACCAACTTACTTCATAAATAAGATATCTACCAAGACAAATTGTAGAGTAGAGAATTGTGATATTATGTAGTAATATCAATATATTATAAAAATATATCTTATTACATAGATGTGTATCTGTAACTGGATAAAGAAACCCAGGGAATTAACCTAGTGGTTTGTAGCATTCTTATTTTTTGGATTATAACAAACATTATATAGTACTTTTTCTTGATACTACATAGATCTGGCATATGAGAGGAAGTAAATGAAACACACACACACACTAATCTGTACGCCTTAGTAAAAGGTCCATCCGTTTTCTATTGTAGCACGACAGACCACTTCATTTATTTGCTCATTACTCTGCAATCTTGGCTGGGCACAGTTGAGTGGTTCTTCTGCTTGTCTTTCCTTGGGTGAATCATATAGTAGCATATATCTGAATGCCCAACTGGGGCTAGAAATCCAGGGTAGCTTCACTCACATGCCTGGTGTGTCAGATAAGATAGCTGGAACATCTGGGAGCTGGCTGGTATCTCTTCCTCCCTACACAGTCTCTCAGCAGGGTAGTCAGACCTCTCAATATAGTAGCTCAGGATTCTAAAAGGGAGCATTTCAAGAAGATTCTTTTTATCCTAGTAGAAGCTCTCTAGTTTAGACCTGATCTCTGCCTACATATGTCCAGACATGACAGATGACCCCAAAGAAGAAAATGGCCACTCATCTCTGCTCACCTAGGAAGAGCTTGTCTCTCTTTGGAATTTAGTTTCTTTACATTGCTTTTTACCTACAGCTTTCTGGTGTTTTAGAAAATATGATTGTTTAGTTTATCTGGCCTTTTCTGGCTGTTATGATGAATGTATCATCTGTTATATTTCTCCTAAACAGAAGCAGAACTCCTTGAGTTTCTTTTTGGCTATATTGTACTGCTATCCATGGAATTCATTGTAAGATTATTATTTAATAAAAAATGTATAAGAAGAGTATTTTGGGATTTCAATAGCTAAATTTCCTTAGATTGGGGCAAAGAGTAACTTATTTTACACATTTCTACTGTACAGTGAGATTTCTAGTTTCTTCAAAAACCTTTTCTAGCATCCTTTCTTAAATAACTCAATGATACAGTTGATTATACCTCTTTCAGTGTACCTATTATAGTTGTATTGTTCTGACTTGCCTAATATCCACCGGGGTATATGCTTTTATAAAATTTCCTTTTGATTCAGAATATGACTCTAGAAGAACACAAGAAAGGTGTTAGGGCACTTGTGACTTTTTGCCACCTTTGATGACTATAGAATGAAAACCTTTATAAAGTTCTAAAAATACGTTTGTGCAATCATTGAAATTTTGAAAGGTTTTCATTAAATAGTGCCCAGTCAGCAGATACTCACGTTAGAATGTTTCTAAGTGAAACTGTTAGTCCAATTATCAGTTTTCTGTCTGGAGGTTTAATATTATTTTACACTAATCTGTATAGAAATGATTCATAAACTTGAAATCTGGAAATTAGCTTGAACTTTCCAGAAATTTTAGTGTCCAATGAACTAGTTTATTGAATTATTATACTCTAAGATTTTAATACTGTACTGTACTATAAAGGTACATTTGTTTATGATAATACAGAATAGATTTTGGCTATATATTAATTATAATGCCAGATTTTAGTGAAAGTTTCAAGAGAATTTGCCATGACCCTTTAATATTTCTCCTTTGTTCTGAGCAGTCTTCACTAAATAATTTTGGGAATCCTTGCTCTGCATTATTTTGTGGAGATTAATCAACTTGGAAAAATTCTAGAGTCCATTAGTGATTGTAATTTTAATTAGAATATTTTTTGAAGGAGGAAGATATTTTGGATCTTCTGGAACAATGTGAAATTGATGATGAAAAGTTGATGGGAAAAACTACCAAGACTCGAGGACCAAAGGTGCAGTATATCTCTACCTTCCTTAGTTATCAAAGTAGATGCTACTAGCCCTTGATGCTTCTCACTATAAGAATGACCCGTGCTGCTTTAAAGGAACCATAAGGACTGTGTGCCCAGTGCAGGTAGAGTTTGGAAGATGATGGTATCTTACACTCAGGAGTTTTGTTTTGTTTTATTAGTTTCATTTGTCATTTTGGTTATTTTCCTGATGTCAGTGAAAATACCATGAGTCAGGGCCAAAAGGGACCCAGAGCTCGTACTCTTATTCTAAACTAAATATTAAGTTTGCCTCATACCTCTAGACAGATAATTATCAGATAAATGGGTAGCATTATAAATAAGGCAAATCATGAAATCTAGAGACCCTAATTAGGAGCCCCATCTTTTGCTGACCTAGCAACACTGATTTTGTTTTAGTTAAAATAGGTGTAATTCCTAGAAATAAGTAGAAAACTGTCATGTAGATGACATCTACATGTTCTCCCTTTTTTTTTGATACAGAATCTCACTCTCACCCAGGTTAAAGTCCAGTGGTGTGTTCATACCTCACTATAGCCTCACACTCCTGGGCTCAAGTGATCCTCTTGCCTCAGCTTCCTGAGTAGCTGGGACAACAGGCACATGCTACCATGCCTGGCTAATTTAAAAAAATTTCTTCTTCTTCTTCTTCTTCTTCTTTTTTTTTTTTTTTAAGGAGATGGTGTCTCGCTGTGTTGCCAAGGCGGGTCTTGAACCCCTGGTTTCAGGCAGTCCTCCTGCCTTGGCCTACCAAAGTGCTGGGGTTATAGGCATGAGCCACTGCGTCCAGTGCTGTTCTTCTGATATATGTCAAAGTTCTTGTTAGTAGAGTAGGAAAGAGTTGAATTAGAAAAATCTTGGATTTTTTTTCATTCCATTCCATTTATATTTCAGAATTACTGTGCTATCTCTTTGTCCTTAGACGCTTCGTCTTCTGTCATATTTTCATGATTTTCCATGCTTCTGAAATGTCTTCCTACTAAAAAAAAAAAAGTCATTGACTTGTTGTTTGATTAGAGTCTCCTTCCTATTTCAGCTGAACCACTGTTGCTTGTGTGAAACCTTCCCTCATTTCCCCAGTTAAGCTTAGACCTTACCTTCTCTCTTTCTCCTGCTGTTCCATAAATAACACTTTTGTGGAGCAGTTGTGACAAGTAATTATTTGCATGTTTGCCTCAGTACGAGGCTGCACGTTCCTTGAGGGCAGCAAGTAGATTTTCATATCTTTGCATCTCTAGAACCTAGCCAGTGTCCGACACACAGTAGGTTCTCAAAATCCATTAGTTCAGTTTGTTAAATATATCCATAAGAACCTCATTGACTAGTAGAAGAGCAGACAGGTAATTAAAAAATCAGGGAGTAATGTGGGAAGTACTATAATAAAGGGAGTGTAAAGTACTACAGCAGCATAGAGAAGAAAGGGATTGGTAGCATGTGGATGGCTTCAGAAAGGTAGTGCTGTTAGAACTGGATCTTGAAAAATTAGTAGTACTCTAAGCATTAAGAGAGGTGGAAGAGGCAGGTCACGGTGGCTCATGCCTGTAATCCCAGTACTTTGGGAGGCCAAGGTGGGCGGATCACGAGGTCAAGAGATTGAGACAATCCTGGCCAACATGGTGAAACCCCATCTCTGCTAAAAATACAAAAATCAGCTGGGCGTGGTGGCGTGTGCGGGAGAATCGCTTGAACCCAGGAGGTGGAGGTTGCAGTGAGCCGAGATCGTGCCACTGCCCTGTGGCCTGGCGACAGAGCGAGACTCTGTCTCACACACACAAAAAGAGGTGGAAGAACATTTAGGGTATATAGGACATTAAAGGCAAAGCTATGGAGTTATGATACCGTATAGGATGTTGTAGAAACATGAAAAGTTTGGTATGACTCAAGTGGAAGGTTCTTGGATAGTGAAATGATATGGGTGAGCCTGTTTAAGAGATAAGAGATTAGCTGGTGGAGATCTTGGATGTCAGAGACTGTTCCGAATTATGTGCTCCATATTGAGGCATTGTAGAATATGTCATTGATACCCCTTTTGGAAGAAGTATATTTTAGAGTATCTGTAAAAGTAAATACTTGCATGAGTCATGGCATTACTTTGGGAAACACTGGGAAATTTCTAAGCTTTGTATATTAATTATTGCTATTCAGCAAACCAGACATGAGATATCCTGGAGGCACAATGTTTCTGGCAGAATGGCAAATGCAGAAGCCTTGAGACAGCTTTATATTGTCTTATATTTTCCTGTGTTTCATTTATATAAGGCTTGTCATCCAAACAAAAATATAACCTCTTGGGAGGAAGAATTCACTTTGTCTGATTTGTTCAGTCCCTTTCATTCTAGGCAAGTAGTGGGAACTAACAATGTATTCGTTGAAATGAACTAGATATTTCCTGTAGTTGTTAAAGCCAGCTGTATTTCAAAGTTGTTGAAGTCTGGATAATCAGTCTGAAGTAGAAGCATTTTTATAACTTTTAATTTTATGTTGTTTACCAAGGGTCCAAAGTGAGCCAAACTTCAAAGCAGCTGTTCCTTTTTAGAGGGATGATATAACACACAAAACATTGATTTCCGGTGTCTTTACTGGTAGAAGTATAATTGGAGATAATCAAAGTTAAATAAAACTGGTACTTGTAGTAGGAAAAATAATAGCTTTTCACTTACTTGAGAATCTAAGAAACATTAGCTACATGAATAATATCACATAAAGTGTTAGGTTGGTGCAAAAGTAATTGCAGTAGAATATTAGCAATGTTCTTTTTATTAAGCTGGGTGATAGGCATGTGGGTGTTTATTCTTTATACATTTTTATATTTTTTATAGATGGCCTACTTCATAATAAAATTGGACATAAAAAATAAGTACTATGGTTGTGCCGTAACTCAATGCCAGTTTACAAATTCCATTTTGTAGTTAAGACACTATTTAGAGTTTATGTTGCTGTGACTGCTAGTTAATTATTGCTTGAACAGTGTATTGGTCAAAAAGTCCCAAGTGCATATAAGACACAAAGGCTCAGCTGTACGTTTCCCCTTGTGATTCTTTATAGGGTCGAATAACTCATTATGTAGTCAAGCTCTTTAAGAACACTTAAAGCTGTTTGCTACATGAAGGAAGGCACCACTAGCAAGCCTGATTGTGCCACTGTTTCTTCTGGGTATGCTAAACTTCTGAGGAAACAACCTTCCTCTAGAATTCATATTCCCCAAGATTGTCAAAATGTTTGATGATTGTGTTACTGTTAAATGTTTTTATGCATATCTCTTTGAACATTGTCAGTACTTAGTAAATATTAGACCATCAGAAAGAGCACATACTTTTAAACACAAGTTGGTACCTTAGTGAATTAAACTACTTTCCTGCTTTGGTTATTTTTCATCCTTTGCAAAGGCTGTAAATTTAAGAAGATCATGCATTTTGGCTCACTCTGTATTCCAGGCACTTCATGAAATGCTGTTTCTCTATTTTTATTCTACACTGTTACACTAGAGGGTATACCTTCTTTCAGTGAAATCCCATGCTATCCAAGGATTTCATTATAGTGTATGCTAACATCAAAACATTTTTGTTTGATTTAACAGAGAGCAAGCAACTAGTATACAGCTGAAGGACCCTCTCCCATCAGGAATAGGAGGCATATGGTGTGTGTAATAAATAGTCTCTTAGAATGACTGAGTTATGAAACTGTCTTGTTCTTGGTTATGCACATTCTTTCTGATGTGAAACTGTCCCATGTGCCTTTCCTTCCATTCCTGCAGCTGGCATCATTGGAAACACATTGATTGGGAGGACTAGAAACGAGTGATTCTAATAGGGATAGTGACACATAATAGCATGGCATTTTCAGTCTTTACAGATTTTCCCTTCTATATTAGAGGAATTTATCCTTCCCCCGTGGAAGTTTACCCCTACTGATCTTCATATTATATTATTAATTTTTAAAATGTAGCATGGGCAATGCAAAATTATGTCACTCTATTATGGCCAGAAGCTATGTGCCAGAGTTAGGAATACTCTGAGAAAAGACATCAGTTGTTCTTGAGCAGTTTGGAAGGTGGACAGTTCACTAAAAATTCTATTTTTATAAATATCCACAGCCAGTCAGTTATGTGAGGGATACTTAACTTCTTGCTGCACATTATCTGAGTGGATAGGCTCACAGAAAATGGTTTAGTATTCTTATTCTCTTTATCCTTCTTGCCCCTCTTTCTCCTCCCACCCCCTCACACACACATAGACACACACCACACACATACACAGATGCACTTGTGTGTGCACATGCATACACATTTATAGAGTAACTCTGAATGTTAATGATATGACAAAGGTATATCTCTAAGTCTTGATGAGTAATCTCTTATGGAATGAAGAAAAGCTGATTTTATTTCTGATTTTTATATTTTTATCTCAAATATTTTCCCTTTATTTTGTTATTCTTTGTTTATAGATACTCTGGCCCTTTAATCCAGTCATGTGGGAATAACATATTCCTCATCATGATTATATCATTTAAGAAAGAATATTTTGCAGAAACAATAATCAATACATAGCACTGTAGGCTAAGCAGCATGGCAGCAATAGTATTTGGGGGGATTCTCAACCTTCAGTAAAAAGCAGCAAGCATAGGGGGAAATTTAAAATAGTAACTAATCATATCAGTAAACCTTTTTTAAGAATTCTAACAAAATAACACATTTCCGTCTTTTTAGCCTCTGTGTTCTATGCCTGAGAGTACTGAGATAATGAAAAGACCGAAGTACTACAGCAGTGACAGCAGTTATGATAGTAGCAGCAGCTCTTCAGAATCTGATGAAAATGAAAAAGAAGAGTACCAAAATAAGAAAAGAGAAAAGCAAGTTACATATAATCTTAAACCCTCCAACCACTACAAATTTATTCAACAACCCAGTAAGTTAATTTCTTCTAATGTAGATGTTGTATAAAGAATTATGGAACTGAAATTATTAAACTCAATAAAAGGTCCTTGGGCCAAATGAACCCTGTTGTGTGTGAGAAGACCTGGATTCCATCCCCCTTCCTTCCCTAACCAGACTCGGGCACATCCCTTAATCCCTTTCAAGATCTGCAAATAGAAAATGAAAGGGCTGGATTAAGGATCTGTTCTTCTGTATTTCATCATTTTTTTTAGGTGCCAGATTTTTGCTTGGGTTTTGTAAAATGTGCCTCATGGCTGATCTGATGATTACGTGTCTCTTAAGCCAATATATTCTCTTCTCATTCAATTTCTGCCCCTCTACTCCTTTCACCCACTTTGTTTTATGCTATCACTTATTATATATATTTTTAAAAGTATGTATCTCCTTAGGCATTTGACTTGAATGTATCTGTAAGTTACATAATTGTGAAATAGTTGAAGTTTTGTTCCCTCCCGTTTTCATCACCGGTGAGTACTTAAGTCAGGGCTTATGATGCATAGGAACTACTTAGGAGAGCAGCCAACCACTGCTCCATCTCCTTCCTTTTCTGCTTCCTTTTCTCTCTATCTGTATTTCTTTTTACATTCTCTTTCTCTTCCTTTGTCTCTTCTTTCATTTATTCTTCAATTCCAAATGTGCAATATTGTGTCTGTGATTTTTCTTTCATCCCCAAATGTCCAGTGTGGGATTGCTGTTTGCCTAGATTCAGTTGGAAAACCCCTTCCTGATGCTGCCTCTAGTCCAGGACTTTTCTGAACCCTTGTCTGTCATATCTCTGTTTGCCTTGTGCTCCACTGTCCTAGGGTTCCGCTGAAGGAACCAGCTCAATAATGCAGTGAACACAATTGTGAGCCCTTTTTACCCTCAGCAATGTATTTAATATGTTAACTTCCCTGATAATGTGGATATTTTAAAACTGGCCTTAAACACTTATGGCAAAATGCATGAGGAATACAGAACCAATAGATGAAGCTTTTACAGGAATGGTCTTTGTTTATATGTTATTCTCTAAAGAAACATGCTACTACTTCATATCTTTCAGGGTTTATGTCTTTGGAGGGGAATTAATGTATTGTGTTCCATTTCATTTATTTATTTACTCATTCATTTAAGAAATGTTTATTGAGCACCTGTTATACAGTTTGTAAGCTATTAATATTTGCTTCCTTTTTTCTTAAGGATTCCTTAAATACTTTCAGTGTGTCTTTGTGTAACTATGGCTCTGTGTTGGTTTCAGAAGCTCACGTTTTTATGCCTAAATTTGGCCAGTTTTTAATTCCCTTTCCTGTTAGCTGATGTGTACCTCCCTAATGGCATGAACTGATGGGAGATGAGGACAGGTTGGAGAAAAACTTGCTAACATTCTTATAGCTCTGAGATTGTTCTTTGTTCTCAGACCAATAGGTTAACAAATTGAGATCAGACAATAGTGCACTAAAATATACAGATTTTAAAAATGTTTTTAAGTGTGAACTTTCATTTGAAATCTAGCCTAATTTAGTTACATGTCTTTTTTATTAGTTATGTTTTATTTTTATATTCATGAGGAATTGTAACAAGCCTTTTACTTTGTGTTATCTTCTCTCTTTAATCTTACACCAAGGAACATTTCAGCCACAAATCCTACTTGAGTTTTGTCTTCAGAGTGATGCTGATGATCAAGGACACAATCCAGATTATATGTAACACTTTCTCTTATATATAGTTTGAAAAATTCTAACTTATTTCAGCTTCAAAGGGATATGCAAGTTACAATGATTTTTTTGTGAATCTACCCAAACATCATTGGCATGTCTAGCTACTTAGTTATTCTGTCTGAATTTCTAGCATGTGTAGGCAAAAGAAAAAAAAAAGGAATCTGTGATGATTCAAGACAAAGGATATTTTCTTTCTGCCCAGTGATCAGGTTGTATACAACCAAACCATTACCATAACCCCTCAAAGGGAGCAGGACTACAGTACAGTTACTAGCACATGCCTTGGGTATTTTCTTAGTATAAGTTTACTCTTGGTGCACATTAAATATGTGCAGTTCTTTGTTTAAAAAAAAAAAAAAGGTTGACTGGTGGTATGTTCCTCACATAGCCCTTCTGCCCTTCTCTAGAAATATAGAGGCAGTGTCATTTTGAAAAGCGGTGACAGTTTTCAGGTTCAGAAGGAAGTTAATCTTTGGAACAAAGAGAATTTAAAAAAAAATCTTTTATAGCTTTAATAAGTATACTTCTCCAAAATTTAATTTAGAAGTATATCCCTAAATATAAGGCTTATGTCGATTCCTTTTATAAAGGTTTAGTTTTTTTTTCAACAGCTAATGAAGAGAAATATTTGGGTATTCAACCTGGTTTCATGTGAATTTTACGAAATTATTTAATTAATGAAGATATATTCCCCAAGCAGAGAAAGAATACAGAACAGAGGATATATAGACCATAGGAACTGAAAAATAATGAAAATATTGATAGTATTGAGTGATGATCTATTGCCCTGTGTCAGGAGTCAAAATTTATCTGGAACAGTTGGTTTTCTTTATTAGATGTTCCTAATATGCATTGGGGAAGATATTTTATGGTTTCTCTTAGATATTTTTTCTGATAACAAACCTATAGATCCATATATTTTTTTCTTCACTTAAGTCTTTTTCTATTGGAATTTAACCTACTTTAAAAAATTATTTACTCTTGTAAATTAGAATGCTCTCTGTTCAGTACTACTCTTTATAATAACCAATTCTATATTTAAATTCCATTAGGATAATCTGAATTTTGTTTTATTACTGTTTTTTTCTGTCATGGGTTCTAAATTCTGTAACTTAACCTATTTAGCCTGTCCACTTTCTATACTCCTTTCCAGCCCTCCCTATGAATCTTGCTGTAAAATATTCTATCTCTAACATATACACAGATTCTTATAAGTGGCCAGTCAAATCCCAAGGGATAGTGGATAGCATCATGGAATTATAGAAACAGGGAAGACACTGGAATTAGATAGGGTCAGGATTGAAACCCGATCTTGACCACTTTATTGCTGTATAACCTTGAAAAAGTTCTTTCTCTAAGCCTCTGAGCAATGGAGAGCCCTACTTCAGAGGGTTTCCATGAGGACTAAGATAAAAGTGTAGCACTTAGCACAATGCCTGGCTTATAGAAGGTGCTCCATAAATGTTAATTTTCCTTTCTTCTGGTTCTTTTATCTCATGTTTTGAGGATATAATGTTGAAGGATTGTTGATAGTATTATTCCCAAAAGAGCCATTTTTTATACATCAGAGGGGTTCTTCTGCAACAAGTTCACTGTTGTTGAAAAATGTATTCCAAACTCATATTCCCATGATGATGCCTATGCTTTGACATTTATTGCCACTTCACTACTAGCTGCTATAATCTTTAGTTTATATAGACTTAATATAGTAAAAAACTTGTATTAATACTGCTACTGTAGTATCCCTCTTCTCCATCACTGATAGGCTCCATAAGGCGTTCAGTCAGCTGCCCTCGGTCCATCTCTGCTCAGTCGCCTTCCAGTGGGGACACCCGCCCATTTTCTGCTCAACAAGTGATATCTGTGTCACGGCCAACTTCTGCGTCTCGGTCACATTCCTTAAACCGTGCCTCCTCCTACATGAGGCATCTGCCTCACAGTAATGATGCCTGCTCTACAAACTCTCAAGTGGTAGGTCATCTGTTTTGCTCTTTCAAGTTTATAGGGAGCTCTGTACTCAGGCAAAGGGGATCAGATGAGAGGAGGACAGACTGAACCTTAGATCCTTTCCATAATTCAACTCATGACCTCTTGAAATTTGGATTATTCACCTACCTTAGCCTACAATTTAGTATGACTCTTAAAAGGTGCAGACTTCACTCTATCACAGAACTCAAAGATGAACACTGAGAATAGCATTATTTTATTTTCTGTTTGCTAATGTAGTAGGATAATATTACTGAAAATTACCTGAGTAAATGCATGGTTTTGCAGTGTATTATGCAGTCTCTCTTTAAATTTGAGGAAGTTTGGAAAATTTTACTTAATGGGACAGTTGATTCATAGGTTAAAAAATGATAAATTATCCTTGGAGCACTTAAGTACAATGTTATTTATAATGTGTTCTGTATGTTAAATTAACATTGAGTATTCCCTTGTTAGCACGAATCACAGAGATTTGGTATTGAGAAAATAGTGAATTTAGTTTGTAAGAAGGCTACTTTTAGATGCTCAGATAGCTCCAACTACCTTCATGTAGACTAAGGATTTATTTAATTTGTTTATTTAATATGGATCGTGTTTCCAAAGGGAAGTCAGGAAATACAAGTGAATGAATTTCACTTGGTAACAATGAATTTTTTTTTCTAATCAAGAAAAATTGCCTAAGGTATATGTAGCAAATGAAACTGACCAGGAAGTCCTTTTTAAGTATTTATATTTTTATTTTAGTACTTTTAGCTAAATAAGTATAACCTTGTGGAAGTATGAAAGACACTCTTGGGATTCGTATCCATTTAATCCAAAGAATTCACAAGTGTAAAAGAAAATTTTCTTCCTTTTTCATTGTTATTGTTTTCAGTTAAAAGTGCATCATTTTTACCTAGAAATATCTTTCAGATTATACTGGCACAATGAAATAAGACCCCCTCCAAATATCTGTATTCTTTCAAATTTAAGAGTGAGTCTTTGCGGCAACTGAAAACAAAAGAACAAGAAGATGATCTAACAAGTCAGACCTTATTTGTTCTCAAGGACATGAAGATCCGGTTTCCAGGAAAGTCAGATGCAGAATCAGAACTTCTGATAGAAGATGTGAGTATCTGATGTGTCTAAAATGCCAAGGAGCTGGTACCTTTTTATTTTTAAAAAAATATTAAAATTTATTTCCTGAAGGCATTATGCTCAATGACATAGTGAATTTAATTGATGTCTTTTCAACCTCTACTAGCTTTAGAAAATACAGGGGTTTATTTTAATTGTTACAATTCATGAACAGTGAGATCAGATTATAATCAGCAGTGCAAAATATCTTTTAGTATATAGTGCTATTTTAATAAGTCTTCATCAAGTGAGAATAATTAGTGTTAAATAATTATTGTTCTTAATGATTAAGCAAATATCATGTTAAACTTGCCTCTATAAAGATTTAGAAAGAACTAATATGGAATGGGGTATGATGAAAAATGTGGGGCTGTGGCATAAAATGTCAAGAATATTTGAATGTGACACCTCGAATGTCACATTTTTGGAGTCAGAATTTTGAAATGACTTATGCGGAGCTGTGTGTTTTTCTTGTTACACACACATGTGCACCACCCAGTGGAACATTCTAAAATGCCAGAGGGCCCTAAAATTCACATTAAAATCAGTGACTTACTCCTAATTTAGAAAGAGGGTCCACGTTATTTCAGATAATTTTGGTGAAAGAGCATTTCTTCACGCAAGGTTACATTTTTTCATTCAAACATCCTTTTCATTCTTGGATAATTATTTAGTAGTAGAACCTTGTTTTTTTGGTGGGGGCACATATATTTTAAAAATATATTAAAAATATATTTTGGACCTTTTTTATAAATATAATTTTATAAATTATATACATAAAATGTATGTATTTTTTCCCAGAGGAGAAGGCACCATCTGGTGGCCAGTTATAGGATAAAAACTACAGCCATGCACTTGGACTTTTCGTTTTTTAGCATTTACTTTAGACCCGTCTAAAACAAGTGTATAGAAACAAAAAGCAAACAAACAACAGTAAAAGAGACTTTCTTGCTGAAAAATACCCATAATTGCAATTTATATTATGTACTGATGACACAGTCATAAGCAAAGCCCCTAATTAATATTTTGTTGATATATATTTTTAAAAAGTGAAAATGGTAACTTGTTTGCAAGCTAGGTGCTACTTAGTTACATCAAAGGAAATGAAGGAAAGCATTGGATGTTAAGGATTATGCTAGGTGTGCTTTTATTTACCTATGTCATCTTATTTGATAAAGTTATTTTCTACATATAGCCAATGACTTTGTAGCACTTTATTTTATGTATTTCTTAGAGATATTAGTTATATCCCATCTTTTTTAATCAGGTAGAAGAAAATTAAACAGAGAGTAAAACTAATATTTGTGACTATCGTGATTGTTCTATAAAGAATGTATATAGGCTTATATAATTAATAAAATATAATTAATAATTATATCAGACATCAAATTGTTTACTATATGTTCACTATGTGTGAACATTTTAATCTGTTTATTACAGTATATATTACAAGACTATATATTCAGAAGTTTTGCAGACTTGCACAAAAAACAAAACAAAGTAGTAGAATTCTCATTTTATATAGGCTGCCTTCTAATGCATTATTCAATATTTTATTACTATGAATGATGTCATAAATCAGCCTCTAACATACAAATGAAAAATCTGTGTCTTGGATTTCTTGCCAAATCTTATGTTTCTGAAGGTATTTGACTTTCATTCATTGGAGATTGTTTTTTGTTTTTGAGACAGAGTCTCACTCTGTTGCCCAGGCTGGAGTGCAGTAGTATAATGTCAGTTCACTGCAACCTCCACCTCCTGGATTCAAGTGATTCTTGTGCCTCAGCCACTCAAATAGCTGGGATTACAGGCATGCACCACCATGCTCAGCTAATTTTTATACTTTAGTAGAGATGGGGTTTTGCCATATTGGCCAGGCTGGTCTTGACCTCCTGGCCTCAAGTGATCTGCCTGTCTCGGCCTCCCAAAGTGCTGGGATTACAGGTGTGAGCCACAGAGATTGTATTCTTAATGCAACTAGAATAGAAAGCTTTGGACGTAGATGGCTTAATTTGTGTTAGAAATCTTTGCACATGTCTTTTTACGAAAGTTGGCATTATTTGTTGCAAGTAATATTGTAGTGCTTTCATTACACAAATTAATTTAAAAAATGGGTTTCAACCTGTAAATTTCTTAATGTTCATCCTTCCAAACAGATCATCGATAACTGGAAGTATCATAAAACCAAAGTAGCTTCATATTGGCTCATAAAATTGGACTCTGTAAAACAACGAAAAGTGAGTAATGCTCAAAAACAGTTTTTTTCTCTTGGATTATGTATTAAGCTAGGATCATTAAGCCAAATTCATAGACAGACTTTATATTTGCTCATTTGTTTACTCATTTCTTCAACAAATACTTATTAAGTATCTATTATGGGTCAGGCACTCTTCTAGGTTCTGAGGATACAAAAGTGAATTGTAAAAAATCCATGCTTTCATAGAACTTACATTCTAGTTAAGATGTCTAATAATAAATAAATATGTAATAGAATGTAAGGTAGTACAGTCAGCCTTCTATGTCTGTGGCTTTCACATCCGTGGATGCAACCAACCAGGGATTGAACATGTTTGGAAAAAAAAGGATGGCTGTGTCTGTACTGAACATGTACAGACCTTTTTTCTTTTGTCATTATTCCTAAACAATACAACAGTGTAACAACTATTTACATAACATTTACATTGTATTAGATATTATAAGTAATTATAAGTAATCTAGAGATGATTTAAAATATACAGGAGAATGTGCATAGGTTATATGCAAATATTCCACCATTTTATATCATGTACTTGAGCATCCATGTATTTTGCTGTCTGGGGGTGGGGGGTCCTGAAGCCAATCCTCACAGGTGCAGAGGGATGACTGTACTAAGTACTATGAAGAAAAATAAATTGACATAAAAAATAGAAGGTAGTATTTGAGCAGAGACTTAAGTGAGAATCATGCTATACAGATCTCTGCAGAGACAATGTTTCAGGCAGAGGGAAGAACAAATATAGAGATGCTGAGGTAGAAATTAGTTTGATGGGTATATGAAGCAGAGCAAGGCACCATTTTATTTATATATTCATAAGATAGTCTGTTTTAGCTGGAAAAGAGTGAGTGATGGGGTCTTGGTAAGAGATAAGGTTGGACAGATAGGGAGGGCCTAGGTCACAACTTTATAGGCTATAGAAAGATACTGGGTTTTATTCCAGTTGATGAGGAACCACTGGAAAATTTGAGTAGAGAAGTTACATAGCCTGTTTGAATTTAAGAGAATCACGAGAACTACTTGTGGAGAATAGAACTGGAGGAGCGGGAATTTGGCAGAATAGAAGTAGGGACCAGCTAGAAGGTTGTTAGGGTAACTGAGGCAAGAGCTAATGGGTGCTTAGCTAGGGTGGTAACTGAATGGATGGATGCTGGAGAAAGAGGGGGAGGGTTTTGCTGTTTCTGTTGTTTCATTTTATTTTGACCATGTTGATGTTGATATATTGATTGGACATCCAAGTAAAAATGTTGAGTGTATAGTTGTATAAGAGTTTTGAGTTTAGGGCTAAGATTGTGTATGGTGAACAAAAATTTAGGAGTCTCTAAGATATTTAAGGTGTCAGCTAGATGAAACTACCTCGAGTTTCAAGGACTAAGGCCTGGGCCACTCCTACATGTAGAAATCAGAGAGATGGGGAGAATCTACCAAAGAGGACTGAGAAGGAACAGCCAGTAAGATGTGAAGAAACCATGAGAACTGGGTGTCCTTGAAGTCAAGTAAAGAAATTATTTTAAGGACAGAGTAATCAATTGTGTCACGTGTTGCTGACAGAGGTTGTAAGCTGAGCATTGAGAACTGACTGTAATTTTTGGCAATGTGGATGTTAGTGATGACCCTAATCATAAATTTAGCGGGGTGGTGGGGAGTAAAACTTGGAATATGTACAAGAAGAAGAAAAGTGGAGAGCAAAACATCACAGTTACTACAGGCACTTTTTCAAGGAATTTTGCTATAGAGGGGAATGGGAAATGTGGTGGTGGTAGATGGAGAGGAATGTGGGCCAACAAGGATTTTTTTTTGTTTTTTTTTTTTTTAAGATGAAGGTATTTTTAGTTTGTATGATGATGAGAACGATTTAGAAGAGAGGAATGGCACAGGAAAGAGAGGTGATAAAAAGTTCTTGAGTAAGTAAGCTGTGAGAGGGGGAGGATTTTCCTAATCAAGAGTGTTTATTCTAACAGGAAGGAAGGCAGGTGCATGGGAATGTGGTGGGAAGACAGGAAAGTTTTCTTCTGGTGGGGAGGGCTTCTGGAGATTTGGGGAGAGAGTATAAGGTACATAATAGCTGTCTTGGAGAGTGGAAGAGTGGAGTGGCCAGCACGGTGAAGGGCCCATCAACTGCACTGTAATACTGTTTTCTGGGAGATAGGCTATTTTAGTAGCAGAGTGAAGTTGTTGAATTCCTTCAATAATACAAACTATCATTTGCCCTTTCTCAGAATTATCATGAATAAGCTGAAACTTGATGCTGATTACATGATGACTCTTAAATTATATACTTTTATCTGAGTAAGCTGAACTCACTGTTGCACATTATCTCATTCAACAAATACTTGCTTAGTGTCCTGCCATGTGCCACGTAGAGTACACTGTTGAGGAGGGTATAGTAAAGCTGGTGACAGAAGCAGATTGCAAAACACATGGGAAGCCCTGAGTATGTTTTCAGGTCGCTGACTTTGGTTTCCATTAGTGGAGATACGGACTTTTTATTCGAATTGGAACCCTGAATTTCCTTAAGTCCGTAAAAGTTTTGTAATCTAGAAGAGAGAGAAGTGTGGGTAAGTTGCTAATTTAAAAAAATAGTACGATATTAATAATACAGGATAAATGTGGCATTTCAAACCAATAGAGAAAAGATGGTTTTTCCACTCAGTGGTACAGAAGCAACTATCTATTTATAAGAAAATTAAGTTGGAGCCTTAATTCTCACCATATAAAAACAAACTTCATATAATTGCAGTTTTCTATGTAAAAAAGAAAATATTAAAGATTTGGAAGAAAATACAGAAGGATAAGTTTATAATCTTAGAGTGGGAAAACATCTTAAGAAAATACCTAAAACCTAGAAGGCTTAAATTAAAAGATCAACAGATTTGATTACATAAAATCTTATGAAAGGTAAAAAATATCTTAAAAGGCAGAAGTTGTGAGGGCAATTGGGTGGGGGATAGAGGAGGAGTTTGAGGAGGACAGATAAGTGTAGCACATAAAATGAAAAGTAACACTAGTGAACCAATACCTTCTGCAAATCAATCAGCAAAAGAAACTTGCCTATAAGTATTGACACATAAAATGGCAAAGCATATAAAAAGACCATTAAAAGACAACGTATGGATTTCACATAGCCATTTAACACGTAAATAGATCCTTGACCTTACTAATGAAGAAGAAAAAGCAAGTAAAAAACATCATATGGGCGAAAATTAATAAGACACATGATATCCGGTGATGGAAATAGTATGAGTAAAAGGGCCTTTGCTATACTATTAGAGAGAAAGAGAGTACATTGGTACAAGTCTTTAGAAAAATAATTTGTAATATCTATTAAAATGACATGTTCATAATCTTTATAAGTCAGCAAAACCACTTCCAGCATTCCATCCTACAGAATAATTGCCTGAATGTATAAAATATTTTTTTTGTACATGAGCATTCATCACAGTGATAAGGCATCTCCATGGAAAGGGCTTGTGAAGTAACAGTGTTGTGCGTTTGTTTTGTGTTGAGGTAGGAATAAGGGAAAGAGGCAGAGAGTGTCTCTCCCTGACCCCAGGACCTTGCTTCGGCTGTCCTTGCTAAGTAGAATCCCTTCTTTACAATCTCACACACCACATATTTTGAAGATCCAGCTCCATCTCCTTCACAAAGCATCTGGAGTCCCCTACAACCAGGTATCTTTCCCTACTTCAATCTTCATGGCACTTTGTATTCAGTTAACTTATGATCTCCCTTGAGAAATTTATGGATAATTTTTCCATAACTCTAAAAAGCCAGAGGATGGGTCTCATTTAATAGTTACCTTCAGGGGGCTTTCTGTCAATTTTTGTTAAGTTGATTCCATTCTAGACTTTTAATTCTAGACTCAATACCCAGGTAGCTGCTTCTTTCCGTGGCCATCTTTCCTTACTAGTTAGTGATATGTTTATTTGAACAGGAATTAAGAAGACAGTGCTATTCTGTTTGATACATGTGATGTGAGAAGGCCTGATAAACATTGATGGGATGATTAAATGATATATGTGAATAATAATATTTGTGAATTGGAAGAAACAATTTCAATAGGGTTGTTATGCTCAATTGACTTTCTACATTTAGAGGAAAAATAAATGCTTGTTTATAAATTTACTACTGAGTACATATACCAGTGTATCTACTTCTTTGGTACTGATTTACTCTAAGAATGTAGGAGTGAACTATTTTTATGTAATCTTTTCTTCCAGTTCTCAGAGGTACAACCACCTTTAAGTATTAATCATACACTGTTATGTGGAGGGAGTGGAAGCACTAATGTGAGGGGAGGAGCTTTATTACCATTTTTGTACCCTGCTAGTCTTTTTTTTTTAGCTTCTTTGCGGCTTCTTCCTTTGGTATAAATCAAAGGTATTGGGTTTCCCTTGTGCTTGCAGAAGGTAACGATGTATTCTGTCTTCAGTAAAAGCTTGTTAAAGTCCCACAGTTTGCACTACCCAAACGTTTACTGTCATTCTTCTACATAGATAATTTAATAGACAATTATATTTTTGGCAGAAAAATTCGTATCTTGAATTTTGGCCCTTAAAAGAACAGAAAGGGCTGATCTTAACTAGAGCAAGTTTATCTTGCAAAGATGCCCAATTTTACGGAGCCCTGAAAGTCGCTGAGGAATGCTACTCCCAGGCTGTGAAAACAAGTGGAAGCCTAGGATTTAAACAGGTGCAACTTGTTTGTAGCAATTTTTCTTGCTATTCTCATGATTATTGGGGCTCCTTTTCTTCCTTCAACAATTTTATTCTTTAAGAGGCTTTCCCAAAACAGGCTCAAATTTCTCAGATATGTAGTGAAAGGTGAGGCACGTCTGGGAAAATAAGCAGAGGACAACTTTCAGCAGCTTTCATTCTGTGATGACATTCTTCCCCTTATTCAGGTAATTTAAGACCCCTTACCCATGAGTAACTATTTTAATATAAGGAGCTTTATATTAAAACTTTACTATAATGTTTTGTG